AAGAGGCCGGCATCTTCAGTGTGGGCACCCAGCTGTGATAGCCTGCGGCTTCACAGATGGATACCCACTGCACATGCGCAAGTAGCGCTGCGCTTCATGAATGGTCCTGTAGTCTTCTGGGAGCTATCACGTGTCCCAAAAGACCACAGGGGGGGAGGACACCTTCCGTTTCCGATCACCTAGGCGTTGGGACTGGAAGTGGGAGCGGGTACCTGTCAAATTCGGATACCCGCCCCCCAAAGGTTCCAATTCTTAATGGAGAGCGGGGGGAGCAGTCCTTAAAGCGGAACTTCCCCTTTTGGGTGGAGCTCCGCTTTAACGTAAGGCTCCATTCACACTTGTGCGACTTGTCATGTGACTTTGAACACAGAAATGCGAGTGCAAAAGTGGAGAGTGCAAAATCTGGTGCAGCTCTGCATTGAAAACAATCAGTTTCCAGTTTTCATTTCCAAAGTTTAAATGAACAAGCTGCAGTTAAAAGCCGACTGACTGCCATGCACAGCTGCACCAGATTCTGAGTGCTCCAATTTTAGTAAATCTGCCTCTTACTGTCAGTGTAAAACAAAACGTACACTATCGTTTCTGGGCCCTACTACGGGTATAAAAACACAAATAATGTAAACATATGTGGTATCGCTACTCTCAGGAATTGGAGAATTTATTGTGGGTTGTTCTTTGGTGGTTGGTTATAGAAAGGAAAGCAATATACAGTTAAAATTCAAATTATAATATTTTTGAATTCTACTTTAGGTCCGGTTTTCTTTGATGGTAAAAAAAATCAGATATTCATTATCATTTACCACCAAATCACCAGGCTCTACTGGTCCAGAAAATACAAGGTATCATTCACCAGGGTGCACAAAGTAGTAGCGATGATATGTACAGTTCTACTAACACATGTCAAATTGCAAAAAACTGGGCTAAAGCATTAAAATGTGCTTGGACCTTCATCTTATAGGGGTAAGAAGTTGACTGGGGAGTACTTACCTGTTCTGTGCAATGGCTTTGATCCTCCTATTCTCGGGTCCCCCGCTGTTGTTCCTGGCTCCTCCCCCCACACTGAGCACAGCACACGGGAGCAAGCATGCATGAGTGCCCCCAGAGCAAATGACTTGCTCTGGGGGCACTCGTGCATGCTTGCTCCCATGCATGACCATAAGACTCACAGAGCGCAACTTGGCCCTGCCCCCTGCTCCCCCTTGACTGGCTGGGAATGACAGCAGCTGGAGCCAATCCCTGCTGTGTTTCAGCCAATGAGGAAGGAGAGACCCTGGACAGCCGCTGCTCTTGTGCATATCGCCCAATCGAGAACGAGCACAGATGAGTATGGGGGGTGGGGAGCTACACTTCCAGCACTGAAACCTATGTAGTACAGTTTCACAGCGGGATGCTTGCTCTCCGCCTCATCCATTCATATAATGTCTTGCATTCTTATCAAAGAATACAAGCCGTTCTGTGAATGGATGAGATGAGATAGGAGGTGAAAGAAAGACACAGTCTCCACTACATCCAATCACAGAATGCCATGTACTCTGTAAAAGAAGTTTCATGTATCAACAAAAACTGGAGAGTGCAAAATCTGGTGCAGCTGTGCATAGTAGCCAATCAGCTTCTACCTTCAGCTTGTTCAATTAAAGAGGAGTTCCACTCACTCTGTAAAAAAATAAAAGTCAGCAGCTACAAAAACTGTAGCTGCTGACCTTTAAAAAACACCCACTCACCTGTCCCACGATCCTGCGTTGCCCCCGCCACAGCCGGTATCACCGGCTGCCCTGTATTCTAGGCGCCGGCATCTTCAGTGTGGGCACCCAGCTCTGACAGCTTGTAGCTTCACAGCCGGGTACCCACTGCGCATGCACGAGTAGAGCTACACTTCCTGAATGGCCCTGTCGTCTTCTGGGACCTGTCATGTGTCCCATAAGACCTTGGGGAGGGAGGGTAGGAGGACAACTTTCGTTTCCGCTCGCCTAGGCGATCGGAGTGGAAGTGGGAGCGGGTACCTGTCAAATTCGGGTACCTGTTCCCCCCCCTCGCCCCCCAAAGGTGCCGATCCTTAATGGGGAGCAATCTTTAAAGTGGAACTTCCCCTTTTGGGTGGAACTCCGCTTTAAACTCTGACAATAGAACCTGGAAGTTGATTGGTTTCTGTTGCAGAGCCGCACCACATTTTATACTCTCCAGTTTTAGAAAATCAGCTCCTAAGAGTTTTGTCAAAAACAGCAGAAGCCAGATACAGGACAACAATTATTCGAATTATTTTATTTTTAGAAAGCAACTGTCAAGATATTGTTTGTTATCCAGATTCAGCTTTAAAGATCTCAAGGGTTGGGTGATACATTGAATTTCAATAAACATTTAAAATAATCTGTCCCTCGGTCTGTCACTATTTGCCCATTGCAAGCTATTGTAAACAATACAGGCCACTTACATATAGTATCCTATGTACAAAGAAACAACAGAAAGGTAAAGATTGTTTTTAAGTGATACTTAGCTATGCTGTGTGGATGGGAACACATAAACATATCGGAGGGGTTTCTCAAATGTAACTGCAAAAGTGGCAATACACATTAAAGTGGAAGTTCATTTTTTTTTTAATTTCTGACATGCACGGGTATTTATGACAGAAGAGACCCCATTGGTCTCTTCTGCCATAAATGCATCTTTCTGTCTGTCAGCCACCATGTACACTGAGCCGTGCATGCGCAGCTCAGCAAACATTTATGGCCCTGATCCGTGCTGCAGTGATGTGACTCCCGTGTGCAAGAGTGATGTCATCTCAGTCCGGCCTATTGAAAGGTCAAAGGCACAGGACACGGAAGGAAGACCAGGCGAAGATGGAAGCCACCGGATCAATCCCACCGCAGCGCTGGAGAGCATCGTTTGACAGGTAAGTCTGCCATAATGTACTAATATGCTATGCACACTAGCACATTATGGCATAACCCACCTGGGGCCCTAAAAAGAAAATTTTCAGTGGAGTTTACTACCGCTTTAAATTCGAGCTAGACTGCAGAGAATCATAAATATGTAACAACTTCCCACTGCTGTAATGCATATAAACTGCAGCATAGCAGGTACACCTTATGGTCCAGAAGCTGCACATATGCATCCATGGGGATCCGAAGGTCTGAGCTGAGAATGTGCTCCCAGTACACTGACCGAGCTGTCATTGACAGCTCTCGGTCTCTGTAATCTGGAGCCAGCATGATGGGATTCTGAACATGGGACTGCTTTCAGAGCCAATCGTAGTGATGACATAATTGGAGCACTGCCTCCAAGTATTAACACCCACTTGAAACTGAACTCCATGAATTATCTGTACAGCATACTTACATTGGTCCAGCTTGGCACCACATTAGTATGCACATCTCAAACCTGATGGGCAGACAATCATTGTAGTAATCAGCATTACTACAGTGATTGTCATGATCTACTGGGTCCTGCTTGGGATCTGTGTGAGCAGCTTCCCCTCTGCACACAGGGGATCACTTCTTCAGCAATGGGCCCATTCACTGAACACCTTTGGTATTTTTTTTTCAATGCATGCAAGGCATTCCCTGATTGGATGAGGTGGAAAGAAGGGGCAATGACATCACAATCTCATCCAATCACAGAATATCTTGTATTCATTGAACACAAAAAAAAAGCATTTTATGAATGATGGCGGAGCTGAGTGAACCCCTGTGGTCAGTATGCAGAGGTGGTGGTGGTGGCGGCGGGGGCACACTACTCACAAACTTGTGGCTATCACTGCAGATGCGCCGACTACTAAAGTGATCGTCAGCTTCCCCAGTGGTCCCTCAGGTATGAGATATGAATACATTGTGCCAAACTGGACTATTTATTGTAAGTATACAACGCAGATCATTCCTGGAGCTCAGAATTAAAGGGCCACAGGGAGATGGCGGGAAAGAATAAATGGAACTAAAGATAATTACAAATAGATATACAAAGATAGCTACACAGACAGATAGATATAGACAGACATGCAGTTCCATAAAAGTTGGGACGCTTTGTAATGTCTACATAGAAACAGAATTTAATGATCGGCAAATCTAAAAAAAAATCCATATTTTAGATGTTTGATATGTTTTCTATTGTGAATAAAATATGGGTCTGTGAGATTTACACATCACTGTATTCTTTTTTATGTAGATTTTACACAACGACCAAACTTGTTTGGAATTGGGATGGTAGATCAATAGATAAAATGATCTAGATAGATAAATAGATGGATAAAGAAAAAAGTATAGATAGATAAAAAGATAGATAGATAGATAGATAGATAGATAGGAGAAAAAGTATAGATAGATAAAAAGATAAATAGATAGATAAAAAATGATAGATAAATACAAAGATAGATAGATGGATAAATCGATAAACAGATAGATAAAAATGATAGATAGATAAGAGAAAAAAGTATAGATAGATAGATAAAAAGATAAACAGATAGATAAAAATGATAGATAGATAGAAGAAAAAAGTATAGATAGATAAAAAGATAAATAGATAGATAAAAAATGATAAATACAAAGATAGATAGATAGATGGATAAATCGATAAACAGATAGATAAAAATGATAGATAGATGAATAAAAATGATAGATAAAAAGATAAACATATAGACAGATAGCGATAAATAGATATAAAAAGAAAAACGAGGAACAATTATAAATACATAGATAGAAATAGAGAAAAAAATGTGGCTATAGAAAAAATAGACAAATAAAAAGAGAAAATGACAGATCTACACAGACAGCCGGCCGGAGAGGTAGGTAGACGGTAGGTCCACTGTGCCCCCCCCGGCAGTGTATACAGGCTGAGGCCCGGTAGTCTCCCGGGTGTAGTGAGCACACCGCCGGCCCGGTTCTCCAATGGTGGCCGTGCGGTGGTAATCTCCGGGTAGAAGGTAATGTACAGTGCCGGGCTGGCAGGATACAATCATACAAGTGTGTGCCGTGTGTTCCGGGCTGTCGGTGTCATAGGAGGAGTCCGGTTACCGTGCACTGGTGCGGGAGCCTTGGGGTCGGAGCTGTCCGGCTCTCCCATGTCCGGTGTCGCTGGGGATCCGGTGTCCGCCGCTCTCTCCTCTCCGCCCCGGGCTCTGTTATGAGGAAAATGGCACAAGAGTGAAATGTGGAACTTCCTGTACGGCTGTGCGCACTGTAGGGTGTTCCCATGTGTGTGTCAGACTGTAATGTGAGACAGTAGTGTGTGCTGCATTGGGTGTGTCGCAATGTGTAGCACGGAGGGTGTGTCGTAGCTACACTGTGTTTTCTTCACCCTTCTCTGCGGGTGTGCGGGGTGGAGGCAGCCTGGTGACAACACACACCGGGAACATGGCTTACAGTTGTCATCTGTGGCTGGAGGAGGGCATTTCTGGCTTCGGGATTCCTACATGTTTACACATACAGAGCCTACAACACACGCATGTCCTGTGTATTACGGTACAATATTACCTGTGTTCAGGTATGAGGTGAGCACACACCTCCTGTGTATTACAGTATTACCTGTGTTCAGGTATGAGGTGAGCACACACCTCCTGTGTATTACAGTATTACCTGTGTTCAGGTATGAGGTGAGCACACACCTCCTGTGTATTACAGTATTACCTGTGTTCAGGTTGAGGTCAGCACACACCTCCTGTGTATTACAGTATTACCTGTGTTCATGTATGAGGTCAGCATAGGTCAGGTCAGCACACCTCCGTGTATTACAGTACAGTATTACCTGTGTTCAGTGTTCAGGTATGAGGTCAGCACACACCCTCCCGTGTATTACAGTACAGTATTACCTGTGTTCAGTGTTCAGGTATGAGGTCAGCACACACCTCCCGTGTATTACAGTACAGTATTACCTGTATTCAGTGTTCAGGTATGAGGTCAGCAAACACCTCCCGTGTATTACAGTACAGTATTACCTGTGTTCAGTGTTCAGGTATGAGGTCAGCAAACACCTCCCGTGTATTACAGTACAGTATTACCTGTGTTCAGTGTTCAGGTATGAGGTTCAGCACACACCTCCCGTGTATTACAGTACAGTATTACCTGTGTTCAGTGTTCAGGTATGAGGTCAGCAAACACCTCCCGTGTATTACAGTACAGTATTACCTGTGTTCAGTGTTCAGGTATGAGGTCAGCAAACACCTCCCGTGTATTACAGTACAGTATTACCTGTGTTCAGTGTTTCAGGTATGAGGTCAGCAAACACCTCCCGTGTATTACAGTACAGTATTACCTGTATTCAGTGTTCAGGTATGAGGTCAGCAAACACATCCCGTGTATTACAGTACAGTATTGCCTATGTTCAGATACGGTGGGGAAAATAATGATTTGATCCCCTGCAAATTTTGTAAGTTTGCCCACTTACAAAGAAATGAAGGGTCTATCATTTTTATCATAGGTGTATTTTAAATGATAGAAACAGAAATATCAACCAAAAATCCAGAAAATACACATGCTACAACTGTGATCAATTGAGTTGAGTTCAGTGAGTAAAATAAGTATTTGATCCCCTACTGACCAACAATAATTCCGGCTCCCACAGGCTGGCTATGTGCTCATGTGTTACACAGATCAGTCCTGTCAAATTTAAGAAGGTGCTCCGAATGACAACTCATTATGTGTATAAAAGACACCTATCCACAGAATCTCTTTTTTCCATTCAAACCTCTCCACCATGGGCAAGACTAAAGAGCTGTCAAAGGACATCAAGGACAAGATTGTAGACCTGCACAAGGCTGGAATGAGCTACAAGACCATCAGCAAGAATCGGTCGGAAGAAGACCACTGTGGGAGAGATTATTCGCAAATGGAAGAAACACAAAATAACCATCAATCGCCCTCGGTCTGGAGCTCTATGCGAGATTTTGCCTCATGGGGTAAGGATTGTCATTAGAAAAGTGAGGGATCTGCCCAGAACTACACGAGAGGAGCTTGTGAATGATCTCAAGGCAGTTGGGACCACAGTCACCAAACAAACCATTGACAGCACAATACGCCACCATGGACTGAAATCCTGCAGCGCCCGCACGGTCCCCCTCCTCATGAAGGCACATGTGCAGGCCCGTCTGAAATTTGCCAATGAGCATCTAAATGATTCAAAGAAGGACTGGGAGAAAGTGCTGTGGTCAGATGAGACCAAAATTGAGCTCTTTGGCATTAACTCAACTCGCCATGTTTGGAGGAAGAAAAATGCTGACTATGACCCTAAGAACACTATCCCTACAGTCAAGCACGGAGGTGGAAACATTATGCTTTGGGGCTGGTTATCTGCTAAAGGTACAGGCCGACTTTGCCGCATTGAGGGGCCAATGATGGGGCCATGTTTTTTGTAAAATCCTGATTGAGAACCTTCTTCCCTGAATACTGAAGATGGGTTGTGGATGGGTCTTCCAGCATGACAATGACCCCAAAAATACCGCCAAGGCAACAAAGGAGTGGCTCTGGAAGAACCAGATTAAATTGACAGGACTAATCTGTGTACCGCATGAGAAAATATCTAGCCTGTGGGAGCCAGAATTATTGTTGGTTGGTAGGGGATCAAATACTTATTTTGCTCACTGAACTGCAATTCAATTTCTAACATTTATATCATATTTTCTTCTGGATTTTTGGTTGATATTCTGTCTCTATTATTTGAAATATAAAAATAAAAATTATAGACCCTTCATTTCTTTGGAGGGGGGGCAAACTTACAAAATCTGCAGGTGATCAAAATAATTTTTTCCCCATTGTATGAGGTCAGCACACATCTTATGTATCACAGTACAATATTACCTGTATGCAGTGTTCAGGTAATGAGATCAGTATACACATCCAGTGTATCACATTACAGAATTACCTGTATTCAGTGTTTAGTATGAGATCAGTATATACATCTTATGTATCACAGTACAATATTACCTGTATGCAGTGTTCAGGTATGAGATCAGTATACACATCCAGTGTATTACATTACAATATTACCTGTATGCAGTGTTCAGGTATGAGATCATATCCAATGTATTCATTACAATATTACCTGTACGCAGTGTTCAGGTATGAGATCAGTATACACATCCAGTGTATCACATTACAGTATTACCTGTACGCAGTGTTCAGGTATGAGATCAGTATACACATCCAATGTATTACATTACAATATTACCTGTACGCAGTGTTCAGGTATGAGATCAGTATACACATCCAGTGTATCACATTACAGTATTACCTGTACGCAGTGTTCAGGTATGAGATCAGTATACACATCCAGTGTATTACATTACAGTATTACCTGTATGCAGTGTTCAGGTATGAGATCAGTATACACATCTTATGTATTACATTACAGTATTACCTGTATGCAGTGTTCAGGTATGAGATCAGTATACACATCTTATGTATTACATTACAGTATTACCTGTATTCAGTGTTCAGGTATGAGATCAGTATACACATCTTATGTATTACATTACAGTATTACCTGTATGCAGTGTTCAGGTATGAGATCAGTATACACATCTTATGTATTACATTACAGTATTACCTGTATGCAGTGTTCAGGTATGAGATCAGTATACACATCTTATGTATTACATTACAGTATTACCTGTATGCAGTGTTCAGGTATGAGATTAGTATATACATCTTATGTATCACAGTACAGTGTTACCTGTATGCAGAGTTTAAGTATGAGACCAGTTTACACAAGTATCTTAGAAAATAGAAATAAACAGCGCAAAATTAGACTTCTAAATCCACTCATAAAAAAATCTTATTATATAAAGTGTATAAATGAATAGTGCATATCCTTAATTATATTGTTATCAAACACCAAAAGTCCATGTGTGATCAGAAAATTGCAAATAAGCTTCCACCTTCCACCCGTGCAGAAACCAACATCAAATGCACTCACCAGAACTTGGTGAGTGAAAAGCCTTTAAGGAGTTTTACAGGGATCCTAAACCCTCTTTCGCATTAACTCTATAGGAATCTTCAACATCCACGTAGGCTCTGCTCTGTTCTATGGCTGATGTGAGATCCCTGGAATAAGAAGGCTGTGGAAATGTTCATGTTTTACCTGGAGTCTATTATATATAAATAAATGTGCCTTTTACAAGTCACTGATATGTGAGTGGCCTTAATCTATGCTTTGAAATTTCTAATATTATGTGGCAATATCACACTATGTGAGATTTTTTTCTCCTGGTTAAACGGTGGAGCCTACATGGATGTTGAAGATTCCTATAGAGTTAATGCGAAAGAGGGTTTAGGATCCCTGTAAAACTCCTTAAAGGCTTTTCACTCACCAAGTTCTGGTGAGTGCATTTGATGTTGGTTTCTGCATGGGTGGAAGGTGGAAGCTTATTTGCAATTTTCTGATCACACATGGACTTTTGGTGTTTGATAACAATATAATTGAGGATATGCACTATTCATTTATACACTTTATATAATAAGAATTTTTTTTTATGAGTGGATTTAGAAGTCTAATTTTGCGCTGTTTATTTGTATTTTCTATGGTTTGTGTTTTCACAATTTGCACAGCAGCAGTTTAGATTTAGATTGTGTAGTTTTTGGCGCAGGACTAAGTCTTATTATTCTTAATACACAAGTATCTTTTTTATTGCAGTATGTTTTTTACCTCCAGAACTTCTCCAGAGCCTTTTTCATCCTCTCAAAATCCCTGCCCCAACCTGTCCAGCTATCTCCTATCGTGTCTGCATTCAGGTGATTCCCCAGAACTCATATCTTCAGAGAGACCCATCCTGCCTGCACCTAGTAACTGCAAGTAGTAAATGGAACTTTTACTTTTTCCATGAGCTCTCACTATTATTACTTTTTGTACAGCTCACCCCCTCCCTATTAGATTGTAAGCTTTCATTGGCAGGGCCCTCCTAACCCTATGCTGTTGAATTGTATTATAACTCTGCTGTCTCCCTTTTTTTCAATAAAGCAATACACAAGCTGTCGGCACTATAAAACTCTAGTATAATAATAATAACTATTAACCTCCCTAGCGGTATGATTATGTCCATATTTCTGTGCTCAAAGCGGTACATTTTTTTG